TAATTTCCTTTTTTTTTGAAAAAAATCGACATTCGATTAGAATTTTTTTTTTTGGCAATTAATAACCAATGATCTTGAATTTCCGGAATTTTCCTTCATTTTTGTCGTTGGCTGTCTTAAATGGTGTTTGCTTATGCATCAAAAAGTTACTTTTTTCAATTTTTTTCTCCTTTGAAATGATGAGAAAAATTCACAATTTTTTATGAGTCTATTTAAGGTTGTTTTTTCCTCTTCTTTTGTTCATTTCTGGTTAACGGCTTGACGATCCATTGGTTTTTTCATTCGCTCGGTCTGTGTTAGTGTTTAGTGTTGAATATTTAGTCTAAACGAATAAATAAAAAATTGAATATCGAAAACAAGAAAGGAAGCACTAAAAACACAAAACTTAAATGATGCATCAAGAATGAATAATATTACTGAATAACGAAAAATATTTGGCTGCCATTAAAATGTTATGTTTGGTTATTATTGTTACATCAATGTGTGTGGTATAATGATGGCTAAACATTATTATTATTATGAATATAGCCAACATTTTCAATTGGGCATTGAATGTTTTCAGTGAATTTGTTTTTGTGTGTTCTACTTTCACACACTAAACAACAACCATAACAATTTTATTCAATTTTTTTTTTGAAAAATAATAATAAAAATATCCAATTTACAATAAGATTTATGGATACATCTTTATCATATTTTTGAAGTGAAAAAAAAATTTAAACATTTGATGACGTAGTCGTCGTTGTTGTTGTTGACGATCGGTTTCATCATTCGGAAATTCTTTGATTCTTCTTCCTTCTGCATGGACACAAAATCACAGAGAATCAGAGACAGAGAGTGAGACAGAGAGAGAATCACACAAAAAAAAACTTTCAATGTGAAAAATAAATGAATGATTATACGGTTGAATTGTTATTCGATTTTTAGTTTTATTTTTTTTTCACAAATTCGTTTGTTTGCTCAAAAAAATAGAAAATTTGTTTGTATCCAGAACCGAAAAAAAACGAATAGAGAATTCTTTCCACTTTGTCAACGTTACTTTGCTGACTGAAGAAATTTAAAAATCGATTTTTCTCCTTTTTTTTCTCTCACTCAACTTTCATTCAATTTGTTGTTGATCTATCACTATCGCTGTGGCAAATGTTTGAACAAGAATCAAGCGAGAGAGAATAAAAAATTTGAATTTTTTCACAATTCACAATTCGGCATCTTCTCGATTTGTTGTCTAACAGTAATCATCACCATCCGCACTGTTTTCACACATCTCATTTAAATGCTATCCAAAATATTTATGCAATTGACTTGGTTGACTGCAAAAAATGTGTCTGGATATGAATGAATGAATGAAACCGAATTGAAAGAATTTCTGATTCACTATTCTCGATTTTTGTCTGATGAATAAGATTTTGGTCTTGTAATCAATCATTTTCTGATTATTATTATTGAAAATTTGGTGTAAATCACACTTTTTGATTTAAAGAAAATTGATTCCATTAATCAAATGAAATCTTTCTTTTTTTTGTTGACTAAAATGGAACTAATTGATTTTTTGATTGCTTGATATTTGGACAATGTTTTTCTGGGTTTCAAACAGTGTTTTGCACTGATTTTGTGTTTGTGTGGTCCTCTTTTAAATCATTCACAAACAACAACAACCGACAGATGTCAAAAATCATTCAACCTAAAATCTGGTTAATTGAACATTTGGTTAATATTAGTAATATGATTGGCTTTTTTGACCTTTTTTTGCTGGCTGGCTAGCTGGCTGACTGGACTCGAATCTCATGTTCAAATTAGCAAATATTACAAGAAAAACATTTTCATTTTGGAAAGCAAATCAACCAACCAACGAAAAAAAACATCAATGTTTCGAGATGGCCAAACTGAATTGAATTGAACATTATTCATTCATACATTTCTGTTTTATTACATTTTTTTTCTATGTTTTGTTGTGTTTGATGTTTGGTCATTTCTCATTTCACTCTCTCATCCAACACCGCTTTCTAGCATCTTTGCGTTGAACATTTTATTGTCATTTTTCATTGTTTTTTCTTTCTTATTGGAAATGTTGCCAATGGAAAAGAAAAAAAAACATAAAAATCGTTTTTAGCTATGTAGAATTTTCATTGTTTTGATGATGATCGATATCGATTCTCAAGATAAAGATAAAATTTTCTTTCCTTTCTTTTCTTTCTTCTTCGGTCAACCATTGAAGAATAATAACCAAAGAAGAAGAAAAAAGAAAATTCCATGATCTTTATCACAGTAAGTGATATAAATCTGTTGATTTATCAATAATAAATGAATGAATCAAGCAAACAAACACACACATATGTCACACACATTATTCATTGCATTTAATAGATAAATGAATGAAGACGAACAAAAATGATTTGCTTCCAAAAAAACTAAAACAAAACAGAAAAACTTTTCCAATTAATCGATTCCCGTTATTATATGACGCTTCTTCTTCTTGAAATGTCTATGTACATAGACAAGAAGAATGTGACAGTTTTCCAGTCGCTTTTTCAATCTCAATCAATTATTGATCAGTGAAAGTTTCCATCTTTAATCGGGCTGGTTGTTTGTTTGGCATTTTGGTTGTTGTTTGGTTTTTCTTTTCTCGCATTTTTAGTTTACTTAGTTTAAAAAAAAAATCCAATAACTTTGTGTGAGGGGTAGGAATGGAAGAAAGAAGTAAAATTCTGGGTGCCATGGCAATTTGTGTATATTTTTGCACAAAGATCAGTACATACCGAATTTTCTTTGTAAAATTTTTTTGTTTTTCTTTACTTAAACTTTTTTCCCATTCTTATTTCAGGCAAACAAACAACAAAAAAAAGTTATTTTCTTTCGAATATTCTTCATTGATGCGAATGAAAACTTTAAAGTTTTTTTGTTGTTGTTGTTGTTGTTGATTCTATAGCTGGGAAAATCGACAAAAAGGAAAAAGAAAAATCTTTGTAAAGTTGTTAGTCCATTGAGAATTTTTTTTCTTTCTTGCTAAATTTCTTTCTTTCTTTGGGTTCATCAATAAATAAAATCTGGTAATTTCTTTCCTTGCTATATTTGAAGATTTCGAGGCTAATCACACGCACAATACACACCCACGCAATACACAAACATCAGAGATCATTGGAGATTCCTTTGGGGTTTTTGCTTTGTTTATCATCTTCCCTAATTGACCTATTTGTTTTTTCATTTGTTTTTTTTCTGTTAAAATAATAAGTTTCCTTGGAAAAAATTGTATTTTTTTGGTTTGAAAATTTTCTTAAAAATTTCAATGAAATGAACAGAAAATCTGGATAATTTTTTTAGAAAAAAAATCAATAGATTTTTCAACATGTTTATCAATGATGATGATGATGTCTTTTGTATCAAGATACCAGAATTCCATTAATTCATTGACCCATTCCCGCTGTCTTTGGCTATTTTGTTGTTGTTCAATTCATCCGACTATAGATTGTCCTATTATATCAATGTTGTCTTTATTTTCTTCTTATTTCCAGTTAGATCTAATAGCAAAGATAAAGGACAACGCCAGTTATTTTATTCTTTTTCTTTTATATTCGATTGATATGAATCACAGCAAAAAAAAAGACAGTTATAAATTACTTTTTCTTTCCATTCTTTCCATTCAATTCTTTTGTGTTTAGTATAATGGAGTGCAATGCCATGTTCATTACTTTTAGATTTTTGTTGATTCTTGCGATTCTTTAGTTGGTCATTTTCTTCGTTTGTTCAAATCATATCCATTAACTATATGTATTTATATGATCAGTAAGGAAGCTAATTTAATTTTGGTTGGCCAGAATTTCTTTCTTTTGGCACCAATTTTTTTCCAAGGGGACAAGAAGCTATCGGGTGTTTGTGTTTATATGTCTGCTGGGGGAAACTGTCGAATTGAATGAATTGAATAAAGTGTCGGTTTTGGGCAACCGATTTCGAATCGATCGATCGAAGAATCATCGATTACTTACTAGTTCAGTTGGCAATGTGGCCAACCATAATAATCATCATCATTATTATTTGACTGGAAATGAGAAAAAATATGTATCGTAATCGGAAATTGGTAGCCAACAAAAATTGACCAAATTGACTAAAGATTAAAATGAATGTTCATCGTTCATCATCATCATTGGAAATGAGCGATGAGCTAAACAAAAATGACGTTTCGCATTTAATTTTTCTGACCAAAGGCTATCAATTAACTAATTATTTTTTTTGTTCGATTCTTATTGATTTTGTCCAAGAAAATTAGTTCCATTTTACAATGAAAATCGACAAAAAAAAAACGATAAATCCTTTTTCAAAATTGCTGTTTGTGAGAAACAAAAGGCGAAATTCTGTTGGATCCAGAATAATACGCCCTTTGGCGTCATATTATCTAATTATGATGATCATCATCATTCAATATCGATATCGATATTATGGAACTTCTTTGACGTTTTTCCAATGAATTTGTTTCTTATCACATTACACGCTGTATTGAACGATTCATTCGATCAATTTTTAAACTTTTTCCACTTTTCCATTTTGTTTTTTGTTTTTTGTCGGATTCAATTCAAATCGATTTGTGATTCCAATTCATTCTTTTTTCCTCCTGATCGATAAAATTTTCGTATTAGGAAATCATGCAAGCAGACAAAAAACACATAAAAACAAAATTCAAAAGCCTGGCTATACTTTTTTTAGAGAAAAAACAACACAAAATTCTCATTTTGTTTTAGTTAAACTTTTTTTTGTCTACTGATAGAATAATGAACGTAAATGAGTGAAATTTTGTGGTTTTTTATTCTTTGTTCAATGTAAAATGTATGTGGGTAAAAAGTCAATGTCGAAAAAAAAGTTTTATCAGTTTTTTTTTTGGTTTGGTTGGTTGGAAACATCCCTAATATCGTTTTTTCCTTATTTTTAACTTCATTGAATGAATCGATTTTGTGCCGAAAATCCTTCTAAATTCGTCCCGTAAATACCCTCTCTCTCCCATAATCACCCGGTTTGAGTATCAAAGACAAAATCCTCATTTTATCACAATGAAAATAGCCACAAAAAAAGTGTTAGGTGATTATTTCGATCATCATCGATTTCGTCAAAGTCTTAGTTTTTTTCATTTCATTTCGTTTTGTTTTGTTGTTGTTGTCAAGAATTTTAATTCTATTCAACAACAACAACAAGAATACTAAACGAATTCATATTGATTGCCTGGGATTAAGATTTTCATTCAGTAAAAAAAAATGTTAGGCAACTAGAAAATTTGTTACACACACACACAAGGCAAAATGGATCTTATTTTTTATCAAGAAAAAATAAAAATAAATTCGTTGTTTATACAGGATTTTGGCCGCGAAAAACAAAAACAAACCACAAATGAAAAATCTACTTTTTTAGTTTATTTTTTTCGTTTAAAATGATTACTGACTATGTTTTCTCCCCCCATTTGAAATCCTTTTTTTTGTAAATCCTTATTATTTATTATAATCCAGTCATAAATTTCAATTTTTTCTTCTTCTTCTTCTTCTGTTTCGTTTCGTTCATTTACACACGAAAATCCAAAAGTTTTCATTACAAAATCCAAAATTCTGTCATTTTATTTGATGGAAAAAAACTTGAAAAAAAACTGGATTATGAAATAGTCATCGTTTTGAATTGAATTAACATTTATGCATCCAAGAAAAACAGAAAGAAAAAACAAACAAACAAACAAAAATCTAAAAAATCGTAAAGATTCATGATGATTTATGATGATAATTACATCATTTTTCTAAGAGCAAAGAAAAAAAATATTACAATTTTCATTAAAAAAAACAATGTATCTTCAATGACATTATTGACTATCATCATTTTTATTATTATTATTTTCATTTCGATTGTGTTTACTTTTAGTATATATATTTTTTTATCAATATAAATTTATTATACTGATTCTGTTGGTTATAATTAATTCTGTTGATATATGATGAGAAATGGAACTGAAGTGAAATGATTTCGATTTTGATTTTGATTTTTCATTCCACTTTTGTTTTGTTTACTTTACTTTTTTTTCTCTTTTTCGACTATTAAATTGAAAAGTAAAGTTTGTCTTTCTTTCTTGTTGAAATTTATCAATCCAGATAAACAAACATACCGTCGTCATCAACATCTGATGATAGTAGAAAATTCAAAGTTGACTTAATGTTCAATATATTGATTCCTGATTCGTGCCATATATACCTTTTACTTTATTTTTTTCCCGATTTTTTTAATTCTGTATGCTTATGATTAATTGCATTTTTTTTCTCTCAATAGTTTCAGCACAACCATATGATCCGGGCACGAATACAATTACCCGTGTAATCAATCCAGGAGATAAAGTTGATATTCCATGTTCAGTAGTAACGCCCGGTGGTTCAGTTAGATGGGCATTAAATAATAAACCAATACCATTGGTAAGTTTACTTCAATTACATTATATTCATCTGATTGATTGATTGATTTTTCCCGCTAAACAAATTCTAGGATTCAAATCAACGTCGTCATTGGAATATATCGAATGATGGTAAAGCAACATTAACTATAAATCGTGTTACAAAAATGGACGCTGGTCTATGGGAATGTTGGAAACTTGATGGTGATTTTAATATTCGACAAAAAGTTCCAATTATGCGAATAGTATTGAATAGTATGTTTTATCTAGGTTAAAACCTGAAAAAATATATACTAATTTTGATTTTTTTCCCATTCAAAGATGTACCTGAAGAACCATATCTTGAATTTGAAGGACGTCTTTTATCACCACATAGTACAATATCTGTACGTGCCAATAATTTAATCAAAATTAATTGTGTCATCAAAGGAATGACATCAATGATCAAATCAGTACAATGGTTTGTTGGGCAAAATAATTTTACACATCAAAGTCGTTTATTGATGGAATATTCAGCCGAAGAAGATGTATCATTAACAATATCTGTATTAACATTAAATGTTAGTGCGAAATTTCATCATGAACCATTAATTTGTCAAATATCACATTTAAGTTGGCCAAATATAGCCAATGTTACGGCTAGATTAAATGTTTTATGTAAGAAAATTGATTTATTTCAATAAATCACTGAATTTATCTTTGTATTTTTTACTTTACAGACCCTCCAGAATTTTCTATTGTTCGTGAACCAGGATTTGGTTTTCCAATAATCGAAGGAATGGATCTAATATTACGTTGTGAAATTGATGCCAATCCAATGAGTCCAGTTAGATGGGAACGTGATTCTGATCCAAAAATTTCCAATGATTCATTAGCACCTATTGATACAAGTCCAGATGGAACATTGATTATAAGACCAATAACATTAAAAGATATTGGTTGGTATCGTTGTGTAACTGAAAATGAATTAGGTTTTTTCGCTTCGGTTGGATTTTTTATTAATGTTCGTGAAGCATCGGATGAAATGACTGCATTAGTTGATCAATTACGTTCACAAAATCCACATCTTCCATCCATACCAGAATCATCGGATGATTTTCATCATAGATCATCATCATCATCATCATCATCAAATGATTTTCGTAAAATACATGATCATTCAAATCGAGAATCACATTTTCAAGCTTCTCGATCAAATGGACCAGATTTTAATAATGGTTATAATAATCATCAGCCACAAATTTCTTCTTCCTCATCATCATCAAATAATGAATGTTCACCAAATAGTAAATCAATCAATAATGCCGATGGCCGTCCAATAATTGAATCAATAAATTCAACTGTAATTGCATTGATTGGATCACAGATTACATTGATTGCACGTTTTTGTTGTATTCCACGGCCGAAAAAAGTATATTGGATACATAGACATTTAGCAATGATGCCATCACGAATTATTGGCCGATATACAACACGTGAATTGATTATGGTAAATTTTTTCGATTGATTGATTTTCAAATAACCAAATAATTTTCAATCAATTTTCTTTTCCAATTTAGTCATCAAATTCAATGAATTGTTTTACATCAAATTTTATAATCGATTCGGTTAAACCAGAAGATGCTGGTGATGTTATGTTTATGGTTTTAAATCAAAAAGGTATTGATCATGCATTAATATCATTAAATGTTACAATGGCTAGCTATTCTATTTCATCATCCTCATCATCATCATCGAATGGTATGTGTATTTATCCATTGATATGTTATCGTTAAAATTAATTTTGTAAATCTTTTAAAATAGGAATTACAACAACATCGGCTGCAATATCGATGAAAACATCAATATCAATGATATTATTGATTTCAATGTTTAATGTGATATTGAATTATCGGTTTTTGGGAATGAAACATATTATACAAATAAACAACAACAGATAGCAGATGAATTTTTGTTTGGTTTCTTTCAATTTTTTTCACTTTCACTCTTAGTCACAATCAATTGATACATACATTACCAAGAGATAAATTATAATTTTGCTATTTATATATGATACAAAATAGTGTAAAACATTTTCTTTTCTCTTTCTTCTGTTTGTTAAATATTCTTATTAATATTTTTTTCTGCCACCATCAATATTGTTCATTTTGTAAATATAATAAATAAATAAATAAAAACAAACAATCGATTATTTCAATTGTTATATGTATGTTGTGTGGTGATCATCATCTCTCCTTTTTTATTACTTGTATTTACAAATGCTTATATACAAAAACTAGACAGTGACATGATTCACTTTCAAAGTATGTTACACAATCAAAATATTTTTGTTGTTGTTGTTGTTGTTAAACTTTAGTTGTTTCACGAATGGTTTGCTTTTGCTTTTGATTCGATATTCATCATTTTGTTCTGGTCAAGCAAAAAAACAAAATTGACAATGGAAATTTGTAAAAATTTAAATAAATTATTATTGACAATTACCGAACAGGATGCTAAATTAAATTTAATGAAAAAACAGCTAGAAAATCGAAAGCTTGGTGAAAAAATAAACAAAAACAATCAAAATGAAGAACCTTTGCGAAAAGTAACGATTAAAAAACAACAAATTGAAAATAAACAACAACATGAAAAAAAGGTAATTATTAAAAAACGAAACAATATTCGACAAATTCGTCATTCATTCCGGTCATCAAGATCATCATCATTATTATCATCATCAATATCATCATCAAAAAGAACAACAACAACAAAAACAACAACGAAAACAACAAAAACTACAAGAAAAAGTATTTGAAATTTATTTGAAAAAATATTATAATATAATTAAGAAATTAGTTTTTTATTTTTAGGTAAACGAATAAATGATTCATCACAATCATCATCATCATCAACATCATCATCACCACCATCAGTACGAATAATTATGACAAGATCAAGAGCAAGACAGCTACAACAACAACAACAACAACAACGATGATGGTGATAATCTTTATTTATTCACATTGTAATCAAATTGAATTATCGATTGATTGATTGATTAATCTGATTAATCGATTGCCAATACTTAATCCTGATATTATTGCAATTTTAAATTATTTATTTAAAAAAAAAGTCTTGAAAATGTTGAAAAACAAAACTAAAAACATAATGTAATCGAATTGAAATAATTGATGGCAATCATCATTTTGATAAACAAATTAATTAAAAACAGACTTGTTATTAAAAAACCAGATAGATAACCTTTTGAAAAAAAATGTGTGACAAAAATTAATCAATTTTTATCAACATTTGGTAACTAGGATTCTATAAAAAAAAACAACAAATCAATAGGATCATTGATTTTATCTTTTTCTCGTGTTAATTTTTTTCCTGATCAGAAATCATTTATAAGCTGATCACTTGTTTTTTCTGATTTTTGATTTTTGATTTCAAATGTCAATCGATTGTAATCATAGAAATATAAAAATGAAATTTTCAATTTGTTTTCTATCCTTGTCGGTTATATTATCGATTTTTTTATCGGTTTCTGCTCAATCTAGAGGTAAGTCACAAAAAAAAAACATTGTGAAAACCTGAATTGTGAATTTTTCATATTGATTTTTTTATTTCACAAAGATCGAAACAATAAACCATATCGTATTGTTTGTTATTGGGGAACATGGGCATTTTATAGACCTGGAACAGGAAAATTTGAAGCTGAAAATGTTAATCCAAATCTTTGTACACATTTAATGTATGGTTTTGCTAAACTACAGAATAATAAAATTGCTTTGTATGATCCTGATTTGGATGATGGTGATGAAGATTGGAATTCTGGATTGAATTGGGGACATGGAATGATACGTCGTATGGTAAATCTTCGTACATATAATCCGCATCTTACAACAATGATATCGATTGGTGGTTGGAATGAAGGATCGGATAAATATTCAATGATGGTTCGTGATCCATCAAGTCGAAAAGTTTTCATTCAATCAGTACTAGATCTTTTGGCTGAATTTGATTTGGATGGTTTAGATTTTGATTGGTATGTTTTTTTGTGAAATTATTTCAGATTTTGGTTAATTGAATTTTTTTTCCACCATAGGGAATATCCAAGTATGAAAGCTACTGGTGATAATGATCGTAAACCAGGACGAGATGAAGATAAAGAAGATTTTATAACATTATTGCGTGAATTACATGAAGCATTCCAGCCACATGGTTATCTGTTATCATCAGCCGTATCAGCCGGTAAACCAACAATTGATCGTGCATATAATATACCTGAAGTAAGCAAATATTTGGATTTTATAAATTTAATGTCATATGATTATCATGGTGGATGGGAAAGTCATACCGGACATAATGCACCATTAAATTCATATGATAATGCTAATGAATTGGATAAAGAATTTACTGTTACTTATTCGGTTGATTATTGGCTTAGTCATGGTGTTGATCCAAAAAAATTGGTATGTTTTTGATTATTTTCAAAGTTAGCCATGTCTAATCTTTTTTTTCTGGATAATTATTAGATCATGGGAATGCCACTTTATGGTCGAACATTCACATTAGCTGGTTCTGAACATGGTATTGGTGCACCAACTATCGGTAAAGGTGGTAAATCAGGAACAATTACACGTACTATTGGTATGTTAGGTTATAATGAAATCTGTGCAATGCTTAAACAAGGATGGCAAATATATCGTGATGATATTGAACGTATACCGTATGCTGTACATGCTAATCAATGGATTGGTTATGATGATCGTGAAAGTATTAATGAAAAATTAAATTTATTAATGAAAAAAAATCTTGGTGGTGCTATGGTTTGGTCAATCGATACCGATGATTTTGGTGGTCAATGTGAAAATGTTAAATATCCATTATTAAGATCAATATCGAAAAAATTGAATAATGTTGATGGTCCTGATCCGGATATTAAACGTTATCATTATCATAAAACTACTAAACATCCTGATGGAACTACCTCGACTTCAACTACACATCATGATCATGAAACAACTAAACATCATGAAACAACAAAACATCATGAAACAACAAAACATCATGAGACTACAACAAGAGGACCGCATGGTAAATTTCAATGTCATTCAGCGGGATTTTTTGCTGATCCAGAAAATCCCCGAAAATTTCATCAATGTGTAGATTTTGGTGGTTATTTGAAAGATTATGAATTTATGTGCGGTGATGGTACACATTATGATGAAAAATTACATGTTTGTGTTCGTGGTTGAAATTCAATCTGTTGTTTAATGTTTTAATTTTACTTGTGAATCATTTTAATAAATTTTATAATTTATAATCAATAAATACAAAAATTTTTAAATTAAAAAAAAACAATTAACCGATTGTTAATAAATTTGAATTTGATTCCAAATTACAATGACCACCAGTACCAAGACTATGATCACAAAAATAATCCGGATTACAACAAGTAACACCACGAAATCCACCACAAACTTCACCAATTCCAGCGCATGCTGTTTTTTAGCGGAAAAAATTTTGATTAGATTTCAAGGAGACAAAATACATGAATACAAACTTACTTCCTTGATTGATAATATAACCAAATGTTGAAATGATGAATAAGCTGAATAGGATTATGGTCAGCCATAGAATATAATTACGTAGTGAATTCATATTTTTTTTCGGTTGTTGTTGCCTTGTGATCGAGTTGAAAAACAAATAACTAACAAAAATATTGGGAAAAACATAAATACAAATGCTCAATGCATTAATGTCAAGTAAACAAAGATTCATGAGAAAAAAATTCAATTTGCGATCAGCGATCAATCGGATTGATAAGCTGAATTCAACTTAAAAAGGGATAAACAAAATGACAAATCAAATCAATCGTACATTTTACATTGATAATGAATCGATTGATTGATTTGTAGTAAACAAATCAAGTAGATAAACAAAAGTTTCCGAAAACAAATTCGGCTAATAGGACACAAACACACACGCAATATACTTGATTGAAAAAGTTTCTTGCTTTTTATTGCTCAATTTTAATTTCAAATTTTTCTCCCACTAAATACCCGGAGATATTAAACAACAACAAAAAAAAGTTAAGATTCAAAATGACAGTGTTTTGTATTGACAGATTTTGAGTTGATTGGTCAATGATTAACCTCGAAATCGTCCACCACCACCTCGTCCGCCTCGGAAACCACCTCCTCTTCCACCACCACCGCCGCGGCCACGACCAAAACCACGACCACCACCACGGCCACCGCCACCACGACGACCACCACGTTGAGCCATAGCAAGTGGTGCAATCAAAGCCAAAATAACGATTAAAAACAACGAAATTGATAAGATTTTCATTTTTTGTTTTTGTTTTGATTTCGATGTTTTTATTTTTCAAAAGCAGAAATTTTCTTTTCGTTATCACTTGATGATTTTCTTTTGGCAAAAAAAACCTGGCTGCTTTTATATTGGAGAAAAAAACCAAACCAAAAAGAATTTCACATTATTTCGCCTCATCAGAAGCAAGAAAAAAAGAGAAAAAAAATGGAATAATCATCCTTCTGGCTGGACGTTAATTAGGATTGTCACCACCAATCAANTTTCTTCAATTGAATATTTGTAAGACGAAAAATGTGCAATAATCATAATGATGATGATGATTGAAAAAAAAACAAAAAGCAGAAAGCACATAATAATCGATTTAAAATGGTAATTTTTTTCTGTTTGTTTTGTTTTGTTTTGCTTCACCAAAAATGAATATCGCCTAAAGATTTGTCCTTCATTTGTTCATGTTTTGTTATTTTGGTTTATTTCAATTTTACAGGAAAAAAATTTTCCAACTTTTTTTTCGGTAATTTTTGTTGTTGACTTGATGCGATTCTAATTGGAATTTTTGTTTTGATTTGCTTTGATTAGAATAATTCAGTTTTTTCAATAGACATCTCTAATAAATAACTGTGGTTGCCATTCATTCATTCAATCATTCAGTTGAATAATTAGTTATCACCAAAAAACCCATTCGAAGATAAGAAATGCGTTATAAATCACCTAAAACTTTGAATTTTTCTGTCTCCATGATTTTGATATGCCAAAAATGAGCATATGCCACCCAAAAAACATCGATAACACAAACACAAACACCATAAATCAATACGTGTCACCATGAAAAAAAGTTAAAAATTTTTAATCAAATGTTTCGCATCATTTACAAATGAAAAATTTTTTGTTTGTTTTGCAGATAAGAAGGGAAAGAAAATTCATTAATGGTCATTTGGTTGATTTCAATTTTTTTTGTTTTGTTTTAAAATGATTTGTTTGGATGATAATTTCCCTCTTTCATGACCTTCAAGCATCTTCAAAATCAATACATATAATTATTTATATAGTCATTGAGGGTTAATTATATTTTGATAAAAAAAACCTTACCAAAAAAAAAGTTTTAAAAACCTTTTGTTTTTCATGTATCATTAATCCCGAAGTCAAAATTTCAGATT